AATCGAGCAAAGGAAATAAGTTCAACCTTGTTCCAGTGCGTTTAACAGGTTTTTAACCGAGCTGTACTATAATTTCTGCAGTATATTGAACCCCGCATGCGAGGACACCTTGGCCTCGCGTATAGCACTTGATGGTCCCCACGGTGGTGCCGCCACCTGCGGCCCTTTAAACGTTCATTTATGATAGAGGTGTAGCCGCACAGGCTCGGCGATATGTAGCAAATGTGTCCACCAACAGCCTGTGTCTGCCTTCTAGTGCACAAAAGACCGTAGGGGGACTCGCTCGGTCAGGTGCACATGGCCTCGGGGGACTCGCTCGGTCAGGTGCACATGGCCTCGCTGCCGCCTATACTCGCTCCACCGCGCGCCATGATCGCTACAACCGCGCAACAGAAACTGCGTTTCCGAATCTGAGTTCAACACATTCTCTTGGAAGAAGGTCTGTAGCTCACATATAGCCTGGGGATGCAATGGAGCCCTAAACTGGTTGCCTCATGGGGGCGCCAAGTCACATTCGCGATGTGCAGATGTAGTGTTACCCTGTTTGATGTCAGCAGCCTCATCAACACAAAGACGGATGAATTCGAACAAGTGTGTTATTCCAAAGATGACCATGAAATGCGAAAGGGTGCTGAGTGCGGAAAATCGTTAAATGCTTCCCTGCACGAGCCAGGATTGAGAGGCCCATGCAGTTCTGGCTCGTCTTCGAGTCCCCGAGGCCCACAGATGGACACCGAGGCAACCAAGAGACTGTGATGTAGGTAGGTGCCTTCCAAAGTCGGCACGAGCCCCCCAACGTGGTCAGGGTACCAGAAATGATCACCGCCTGCTCAGCCCCCCCCCCCCTCTCCTTAAATATAATCAAGAGGCTCCGAGCCCGGGGATGCTCAGGGCCAAGGAAGTCGCAGGCCTTATTAATGGTCCGCGACCCGGGGCCGGACCTTTGAGACAAGCTTTAGACCGAGTCTTCCATGGTAACTGTAACTGCCGTAGTTTTGGTGGTGGCCACGGAAGCAATCATTTGCAAAGGTCTCGAACATGATCAAAGGCCCAGGGTTTCTCGGGACGAGTTGGGGGGGGGGGGGGGGGTGAGCGGCGCAGGATCACCGTGGTCACCATATCAGAGATCACGGTGATTCATGATGTTGATAGCGGATACCCGGCTCGTCGAAGCACACCGAAATGGTCGGCAGAGGAACTGATGTGTAAGTACTGATGCATGAGCCACCGGTGGCATGAAATGACCGAACATCCACAAACGATGGAAGACTGAGGAGGGAAAACTTTAAGTTCATAAATATTGCGTTTGAAATTCAGTAGTACCGAGTATCCCTGATTGTAGATTTTTCTTCCTCGTGTATCGCTTTCATATACATGAGCCGACCAGTGACAACCGCAAGCCGGCGCGCGCTGCTACGCAAAAGCTGAGCCCGGCGCCGGCCGCAGTGCTGGAGGTAAGCCGCCGTGGGTGGCGGGGCGCCCACGGGCCGGTGGCGGGGCCCTGACACCGCCGGTCGGCCGCTGGCCGTGGGTGGCGGGGCGCTCGCGGGCCGGTGGCGGGGCCCCGACACCGCCGGTCGGCCGCTGGCCGTGGGTGGCGGGGCACTCGCGGGCCGGTGACGTCGCCGGGCGGCCGTCGGCTGCGGTGACCGATGGCCGGCGCCTGGCTCGAGCTGCCGTCATAGGTATGCGCCCGAGCTCGTGCTGGACCGTGTCTGCACGGCGCCGCTCTATCGCTGCCCGTAATCGATGCGTCGCCGCTGCCTGCCATCGCTGAATTATGAGCGGCGTAGCGACGCGCTGTGCGGCCGCTAATGGCCCGCCGCGCGCCGGCACACCCCGGCTACGGTCTCCTCTCGGCTGTCCGGCCCGGCAGCCCCGGCCGGCTGCGGTCGTTCCCCTGCAATGGTGACGTCACGCTCGTCACGGTCCGGCCGTTGTGCTGGGACCAGCAGGCCAGCAAGCGGTGCGCTCAGCAGACCGATCAGGAGCAGTAGGGGCCGTACTCCATGCTCGCTGCGCTCACTTTGAGAAGGCGAGGCAGCACGCGCACGCAGACGTACCGAGACGACGGCTCAGCGACGTGCGATGCGTTCATCTTGGTCTCAGCGCTGCGAATGCGGCGCATTGTCTAGCTGTACAGAGCTGTCTCGGATTTGAATGATTGCCACATTCCGCGGCCTTCGCTGCCGGAGCTGCCCCCCCCCCCCCCCCCCCCTGGCGAACTGGCATCTCGTGAGGCCCGGCGCCGCTGGTGACGGGGCCGCTCGCCGCGGCGCGGCGCGGGGCCGAGGGTCGCGGCCGGCCGGCCTGCAGTCAGCGGACGCTCGTAGCGCGTGGGAGCGCCGCTCTGGCCGCCGCCGCCGCCGCCGCCGCTAATGGTCTTCCCGTGTCGCTGGCCGCCGCGGCTAATGACGCGCAGGGCGGCCGACGCGGCGCGGCGCGGCGCGGCCTCCGGGGACGGAAGCGCCGCTTCTGAAGATCGGCCTGTCCCGCCGGACCTCTGCCGGGGCATGGCCGGGTGCGGTGCTCTGGGCCTCTACGTGTTGTGGTCGGGAGCTCAGATTAAATCCAGGTTGGCCACGTGGCTCAGCGCTCATTGAGAAGCAGAACCCGTGACATTTTCTTCATTCGCACGTGACCGGCAAGAGATAGGCCTGGGACGCTTTATGACCAACCAGGAGATAACACACTGGACACTATATGTAGTCATGCGCCAGAAAGCCACAATGACCATTCAACCAGCAACGTCACGATCGTCTCCAAACACGCAATAGTTGTCCTCGCACACGGGCACGTTCTGTCAGTGTCTGGCAATCCACATCTGGCACGACCCCCAAGCGCTGGTCTGGCTGGCGCTGTGGCCTGGGCTTCGTTTGCCGGTCGGGAGTCCTCTGCCGGCGCCTCCCTTACAGCTGGTTCAGTCTCAGCTCGGCGCTAGATCGGACTGGCGATAGAGGTTAGAAGGGTAGGGCCGGGTAATGGGCGGGCTGTCACGAGTCGCCCCGACAAGGGCACGCCGTCCCCGACCCGGTACGTGGGACCGGTACCGCAGTTCAAGCCGCCGCGCGCTTTTTGAGGTGCTCCTTGTACAATGTATGTGAGACGTGCTGCCGTTTTCACATGATAATTGTTCTCATTTTTGTTAGAAGACCCGAAAATGTGTGGAAATGAGGTTGGACGACAGCAAGCCAACATTGACCTTTGCTATTACAAACGCCAAAGTAACCCACAAATTTGACGCGGAAAGCGCTTTGTTCATGTTTGTTGTGTACGTTGTTTATGATCATGGTTGCTCTGTCGGTTGGTCGCGTTGTCGAAATCAGCAAGTCGATGCTCATGGAAGTTGGGGTCAAATGGAATAGCATGCAGATCCTCAGATGGAGGAGGCCAGAAGCTGTCAAAACTTTAATGCTGGTTTAGAGGCACGTGAGGTGGGGTCGCGGCCACAATGCAACATTGATCCTGAGGAGATGGTATTAGACTGCCCCCTCGACTCCCAACGCTGAGAAGGCAAAGTTAACCCATGTCATCGCATGGCAAAATGGACAGTTAAAGGCCACTTTGACCGCCAACGCTAGAGAGCTTCCATAGTCACTGCGTAATTTCCAAAGGTCCCGGCAATGTACGCCCCCCGCGACATCTGAACTGTCCGTGACGATGTCATGCCACGCGCCGCCGTGACGGTGACGTCAGTCGTCCTCCTGCTGGGGCTCATATCCAAAACGTCTGCCACCTGCTGCACTCACGCCGATGCGGTGAGACGGCGACTTCGTGGTCAAGGACAGTGAAACTGGATGCCCGGAGCGGCCAGTAAATACGCGCCGTCAATGCTCTTTGTTGCTTGCCACATTGATTTCCAGTGCGCTTCCACGCCAGTATTTTCGAGTTCGGGTAATCTACGCTACAGCCGACAACGTGAAAACAGGCTTCAAAAGTCAGTGGTGCACTGAATCCGACCAAAACCGCTGCTGTTGGCACCGCAGTAGGCAGGAGTCATCCACTGAAGAGCACAGGTCTCGCTGTCGGCGTCGGTCAGCTGCGTTTGCAGATAACTCACTACAGCTCACCCTGCGCATACCATACTTCACACTGCATACTGCATACTGCATACATACCATACGCATACTGCACATACCACACGTACTCACGCGGTCACGTTTCCAGCCTATTCCTGCATATCCCCGATCCTAGCTGCGCACCTGTTCGGGTCATCCCCGCGGCTCAGGCCAGGTCACGTCTGTTCGGTTAATTTCCGCGGCTCAGGTCAGGTCACGCCTGTTCGGATCATTTCCACTGCTCAGGCCAGGCTACATCTGTTCGGGTCATCCTCGCGGATCAAGCCAGGTCACGTCTGTTCGGGTCATCCCTGCGGCTCAGGCCAGGTCACGTCTGTTCGGGTCATCCCCACAGTTCAGGCCAGGTCACGTCTGTTCGGGTCACTCGCGCGCGATTCAAACCAGGTCACGTCTGTTCGGGTCATCCCTGCGGCTCAGGCCAGGTCACGTCTGTCCGGGTCATCCCCACGGCTCAGGCCAGGTCACGTCTGTCCGGGTCACTCGCGCCGTAGCCCGATGGGCTGCCCTGGTCGACGGCCGCCACTGGTGACCGGACGCCCCGGCCAAACCCGCCCAGCAGCGACCGGCGAAAGGCCGCCGGTCGCCGGCGCGTGCAGAAACCCGCGAGGTGGTCAGCGTATGGCGGCTGTTTGTGACGATGTTTATGCCTGTCATCGGCAGCGTCAGTGACTATTTGCACGCGACGTTGCCTGTTTTTATTGGTCCATGTCGTTTTGATTTTAATCGAGCATTGCACAGCCGCGTTTTGCATTCATGTATGCAGCTATTTGAACCATTTGCAACCATTTGCGTCATTGATTCCTAACATGTCCCGGTGGGCCCATTTGTCACCCTTCACCCATATGTGTCGTTAAGACGCCATTTGCGTCCCCCTATTTATTATGTGTATTCCCACGTGTGGACGGCATTGCGTTGCCGCAGGCGCCGCCGCCAGCCGCGGACTACTCTGCATGTGCAGCACGGCCGACTGTCAGGAGGCCGGTGTCGACACGTGTACCACCACCGGCCTGTGCTACACGGAGCAGCGGCGGGGCGCCGGCGCCGCCGAGCCCGCCACGCGCGGCTGCGTTCGGTGAGCCCGCCACGCGCGGCTGCGTCCGGTGAGCCCGCCACGCGCGGCTGCGTCCGGTGAGCCCGCCACGCGCGGCTGCGTCCGGTGAGCCCGCCACGCGCGGCTGCGTCCGGTGAGCCCGCCACGCACGGCTGCGTCCGGTGAGCCCGCCACGCCACCGGATCCGGCGCTCTCGACAGACCACCCGCTCAGCTGACTGCCGTCTGTTGCGGGATTGTCGTAAACGGCAGGTGAACGGAGCTGGACGTGTGATGTTGCGTGACCCGACGTGCGTGACTGGTGCCGTCGTGGAGGCGGAGGCGAGACGGCGCTGACGCGTGATCTGTGATTGGTGTCTTCAGCAGGGGCAAGACGTCGCTCCTGTGCGACCGTCAGCTGCCCATCATGGGCACCAGCATGCACTGTTGCGAGGCGCCGCTCTGCAACAAGCTGGTGGCGCCCACGTGGCGGCCGCAGGACTCTGGACGACGCGCGCCGGCGCAGCCGCCCCACCATCGCCGCCGTCACAAGCAGTTCGGTGAGTGGGGCAGCCCGGTCGGCTATGGTCGCAGCAGCTGAGCTCGGTTGCCTGCTGTTTTCTGCGGTGGAAACCCGGTATGAGGGATGGCCAGTGTAGTGAAGGATTCAGTCCGAAGTCTATCGTCTTGTAAACGGTATAGTTGACATGCAACGAATATGGTAAAAGGTGCAATGTAGAAATGTACAGTGCGGTTGAGGGTCCAGATTGGCACTGGGCATTGCGGTCATAAATCTGCTCTGAACCCGTAGGTTTGAAGCGCGCTGCAGGGAAAATATTTCAGTTTAAAGCTGGCTGGTAAGATAAGAGTTCAACCTGGAGTTAGCCGGTTTGGTACGGGGCTCAGCTCAAAGACGCGTCGGTAGTCCTCTCTACGACAAATATGTATCGGTAGTCCGCTGTACGACAAAGAGATGGACACTGGAGTGAGACCGTATGACTCGAAGCTAGAAGGTACGGTGAGAGGCAAGGCTCGAAGTTCGGGTTTAGGGTAAGGAGCTTCGTTCGAGTGTAGAAATAAATCCTGACAAATGAATTATGAACGTACTGTGAGCGCGACCGTCAAGTTCAGACCGAAACATGCCGTGATTTGGGAAAGGCTCGTGGCGTTCTTTTTCGTGGCGCCTATAGCTGAGGGTATACGTGACCGACATCACGCAGCAGTGACCTGTGGAGACCATTCTGCAGACTGGCGACACATATGGGGACCGCAGTCAAACACGGGCGCCAAGACCTAATCTGTGTTGTAGGTCGGAAAAAATCGCTCGATGCCTTGCAGAACAGATGAATTCTGGAAGTTTTTGAAGCCGTTCGTAAAATAGCACCGAGATAGACGCAGCAGCAAAATAATCTGACTATCTATCCTATACATTTGCAAGCTGTTGATGTTTGCCAAGATTTGCCCCTGGATGAATGGCTTCAAAAACTTCCGGAATTCATCAGTTCTACGACGCAGCAGAACAGAAGAAGAGGCAGACCCTAGTAAACATTAACAGCCTAATAATGTATGGGATTGACAGTCAGATTATTTTGCTGCAGCGCCGATCTCTGCATTGTTTTACCAAGTGGGTTATATGGACATTTACAGTGGGGACGGGTAAAACATACAATTATTCTTCGACAAATGAGTGTAGTGCGTCGAAGGCGCACAAAATGTCCTGCATGGTGTAAAACAGCATTCAGCGTTCTTGATGTTTTGACGTTTCATGCTATAATTATTGTGCTGTACACAAATTTTTGACTTCAGCTACGTTCCTGCCCCTGAGGGCATGTGCCCTCAGCGACAGGGACGTAAGCATGGGTACAGCCAAGGGCGCCCTCTTGCCGTTGTACAGCCAAGGGCGCCCCTAGTCGAGGGAATTTTACGAACTACACGTGTTTTGCTAATTATTTGTGAATGTGGTGTATGTTAAGTTTTAATGTAAATTATATTTTTGTTTATTATTTGTAAGCTTAAAGTGAAGTAAAATGTAACTTTTATTGTAAATTTAATCAGACCTCGACAATTACACGGCGAAACCCATTAACACAGTTTTTGGCGGGATCTTGGTCCAAATTCACCGCATTGCGTAGAAAATGTGGCATTTCATCCTCTGAGGAACATTTCGGCGACGTATCTGCCCGAGAGACCACGTGGATACATTCCTGATTCCACCCAACCCCTTTTTGTGCTACGTCTGTTACTCGACTTGCGCCGCCTGTTAGCCTCACTGCCCATTCTGAAAACTGCTTAACCGCTCGTGATCCGCATGCTTTTGGCTCTTCCCAACCAGTGTTTCGTGCCGTTACACCCGAGACCAATCAGCATCATCAGCTGATCGGCAGAAATCTGTGTAGCGTGTCTATCGATGCACCCAGCAGCTGAGCATGGACAAGGATGGCCAGCTCGCGTGCATGCTTATCCGGACTGAGCCGCTCTGATGGCCCTGCTGCGCCTCCTCAGACGATGCGGCCAACCGGACACTGGAGGCGCTGCTATCGCTGGGCTCGCGCCAGCCGGCCCCCTGGCGGCCGGGCCCGCTGGTCATCTCGGTCCTGGCCGTTGGCGTCATCCTGGTGATGGGCATCAGCGCCCTCGGCCTATACATCCTCCGGTCACAGAGGTAAGGCGTGGCACGGTCCGCGAGCACGGGAATCAAGCCATCAGGTCACGGGGTACGACACAGGCTCGGCCAGCGAGGATTGGAAGCAGGCCATCTGGCAACACAGGCACGGCAGGGGACGGTTTGTGAGCGGGGCGAGCAAGCCGTCGGGCCGGTGGGGTGCGGCGGAACACGGTACACGACCGAAGGCAGCGAGCCGTCGGGTCACAGACGTGCGACGCGAGACGTGACGTGACGTGACGTGACGTGACGTGCAGACGGGAGCCGTACGATCCGCAGGAGTGATGGGCCACGAGCTCAGGGCCGGCGGAACCATGGCCGCGCTGCTAAGTAGGGACCCCACTGTGGGAATGAGAACAATTACAACCGGTTGCCTGACACCGGCGTGAGGATATGTGTCGTGATTGCCAAAGGCGCCGTGCTGTTCTAGACATTCTTGGGAAGCGGCGTGGCCACAGTGGAGAACTGGGGTTTAAAGTGGAGAATTGGGGTTTACCTACGAGAGACCCCCCCCCTCTCGTAGGTACCGGGTTCTTACCAGCCGATTTCGCCCCCTCCTGGGCAAAATCCTGTCAAGGCCACTGTCTCATGTGTACATTCAATTATCAATTGGTGGAATGTTGTGTAGGTGGTCAAGGCCTCTGCCATCGATTGCATTGGGTTGCACTTCTTTGGTTCACTATTCAAATATTCTAGCGTGAGACCCGTCTCAAAATGTGCTAACATTCCCAAGGCAAGCAAGCAGGACGATAGCGGTTCTCATTATCATGACATGCAAGGTTCATCTGTTTCGTAAGCGAGCTGCCATTGGAAGTTTTCTTGGTGATTTTTTTTGGGGGGAGGGGATGAATTCGACCTTATTTTTCATCGCTACCAAAACTTTGGCCTAGTGCAATAGAAAATTGTTCCTAGGGCAATGGTTTGCATCGCGACGCTGAAGCACCCAGCGTCAGAGCACAGACTGAGTCAGGGCTGTAGGACTGGGAACCTCGTCGTGCATGCATCCGTGGATGCACCCATGGATGCCCCCTGGATGCACCCACGGGTGCAGGTCTGGCATTGACAATAGCCAGGGATAACGGAAGACGGGAGCCGCTGACGTGATTTCTCTGGCCAGATGTTGGACCGCACAGGATGACAGATGAGTCAAATGTGTGCAAGTGATGGCCGCTTTGTTATGCCGACAGCTTCAATAAAGCATGCTAATCACAGCAATATGCAGGAAGGAAAAGACAAGGCTTCGCGGACTGTCGGCTTCTTCTCGTCTGACGGACTTCCAATGCAGCTTTTTGTTGGGGCTTGTCCTCATTTGCGTAGCGAGGAAAATAGGCTTGCTTACATCTGGTTATGGTGGAGATGACCAGGTCCACCAGCACGTCGTTTTGTGTCCTGACATGTTTGTTTATGACCGCCTTACTTATTTGGGTGTTGTGAATGCTCGGTGTCGTTCGACACTACCCCGAAAAATAGCCTGTTTCGTCATATTTGGAACGATCACATTTCTTTGCATCTATCGTCACCCATTGCTGGTTTTATCTGGCTTGCAGAGCGCTGCCGCTCGTTTTTTATGGCGCTGTTTGCGTCCTGGGTGACTCACTTCCCACCACATCGCAGAGGACGTTCGCCACAGTACGGACGCGACCCTATTCAAATGGCGGAGCGGGCCCCTGAGTGGGTGGGTCTGCAGACGGTGCACCCACGGCCGGGCGGAGCGGCCGCCATCCGCGCCAGTTGACAAGCGCCTGCCGATATGTATCTGGTGACGAATACAGCTCGTCTCGCGGCAGATGACATGCTGCAGATGTCGGCTTGGACGTGCCGGCGCTCATACCATATTGAGCCCGGACGGCGCCGCGCGGCGCGGCCAGTTTTGGCGCGTGTGGCCTGTCCCGCGCAGACGTCGTAATAGCGCCACAGGCCGGGTCGCTCGGCTCGTGGACCCGCCGGCTGCTGGTGGTCGGGTCCAGTCCGTCCGGCCTAGTCGTATCCGTTCCTTCTGTGGGAATGGTCAGCGACATGGTATCTTTGATCTGGCAGCTGAGTTGTCGTGTGCGTGGCGCACGGGTTGTCTTGGTGGAACACCGAACGGTTCCGAGGTGGTCTTGCCCGACCAGGAATATCGTGCGGAAGACACCGGAGGACACCGCTCCGATCTGCCGGGCGCTCGCGGCGGGACTAGGCCGACAGCACGGCGGGCGTGATCCACGCCAGCGTGACAGTGTGTCGGTGCCGGTGCGTCACCAGCTGACCACACTTCTCTCCGCAGGTTTGCGATGGACGTGCCGTTCTCGGCGTGTCCCCACGACCACGGTACCCCCTGAGGCCGACTGTGGCCCCGGCGAGGGACCCACGGCACGTGCTGAGCCGACCGGGCTTGCATCGAGAGCACGCGGCCCGACGGCGACCCCGGCGCTGCCCGCCGCGTCACGCTGTGGGAGGCCCGCTGTCCGGAGAGGCGCTGGAGCGCAGCTCCAGACCAGACTCGGGTCACTGCACCGTCGCCCGACCGTCACCCACGGCGCCGCTGAGACGCGCCGTCAGGTCTGAGCTGATGAAGGGGTGTCGGGCCGGTCGACGGGGCCGAGCGCTGGAGCTGATGAGGAGGTCGGGCCGGCCGGTGGAACCGAGCTCTGGAGGTGATGATGGCGGACTTGGCTGGTGCGACCGAGCTCTGGAGCTGATGGTGGCGGACCGGCTGGTGGGGCCGAGCTCTGGAGCTGATGAGGTCGGGCCGGCCGGTGGGACCGAGCTCTGGAGCTGATGATGGCGAACCGGCTGGTGCGACCGAGCTCTGGAGCCTGATGATGGCGGACCGGCTGGTGGGGCCGAGCTCTGGAGCCGATGAGGGATGTCGGGCCGGCCGTTGGAACCGAGGTTTGGACCTGAATGGGGGTTTCGAAACAACCGGCGGGACCGAGCTCTGGGATGTGGCCGGCCTGTGCGGCGACAAACGTACCCAGCAGGGAGCCACCGGCGGTGAGAGCCCTGGAAGAATGCGCAAGTTGGCGGACGCTGCGCCAGAATTGTCTTGGCCTCCGAAGCAGCATGGGGTCGATTGATGTGAATCCAATAGTGTGAACCAAAGCGCGCGCTCCTTGCAAAGTTGACATGTGCATCACTAAAGGAGAACACCTCCTTTGTCATTGTTGGCGATTGAATTTTTTCTGTTTTATTCCTGTCAAGCCTCTTTGCTCGCCCGCCAGAACCATCTCTTCAGATTCGCCAGCGTATTTCCACCCCTCCCACCTTTCGTCGTGTTTTTTGTGGATATGGCGGGTCTAGAGGCGCGTCCCTCACCCTAAACTCAATCCCGGAGCTGATCGCATCGGAATGCGTCCCGTCACCAAAAAACCCGCCCTCGCCCGATTCAGAGCGCGTGCTTTCAGGAATCGTGAGCGGACATGCCGATAGCGTCTCGAACCTCTCAGGGAGCGGCGGAATCCTTTATATTAATTTAGGTGCATTGGCATTAGCTTGTCTACGTTAGTGATTTTTCTTCACAGCGTCACATAACCGCTTACTTTCAACAAACGAAAAAACGTCTTAACTTTACCATATTGAGCCACGTCAACTTCATCGTGGGCGCAGTACAGGTCACCCTCCTGCTGTCACCACCCAGATACCAGACGTTCTCCGTGTGGCATCGCGAGCGAGCGCCCGGACCCGCCCGCCCGCGAGGGAGGCGAACTTCCTCCACGGAGCGTGATGTGGCCCATTCCTTATGCTCAGACATCGCCGGCAGACTCCGTCAGCAGTACATTCCCGGTCCTGTCCGCAGTACGCCGCCGCTCCCGTCGGTGGTACGTCGCTGATCCATTGCCGAGCGGCCGGGGTGCCGCCGCTCCCGTCGGCTGTACGTCGCTGATCCGCTCACGCGGCGCGCCGTCGCCGTCGACGGTGCGACGCCTCGTCCCTGCGTCAGTCACCAGCTGCGCGCACGGCGTGGCAGCTGGTGCTGCCACCTGTCTCGGCGGCCCTGTGCAACGGCGCCGCTGTGCCGTCGCCTCGGCGGCGCCGCGCAGAGAGGGAGGGTGCACCGGCGGGCGTCGCGGTGGCTGAGTCATCCGCCCGGTTGGCGCCGGCGACAGGGGGAGGGGAGTCCCCTCAGCAGCGCCGGCGAGCCTCCCCACGGACACGGCAGCTTCGGACTTATTTGGGGCGGGCGTTTGCAACGGCAACGTAGGCCAGTGAGCGGTGCGCGGACCTTTTTTGTGAATGTGACGCATGGGGGTCGCGTCTTTGTGGCCGTTACGCAGGCACACTGTCGTCAACTCTCGTCTCGTTGGTGCGCTACATAGAACCCAAGGGTGTCGTAGCACTTGGCATGGCACAGCACATGTGTACCAATGCGTAGTTGGCACCCGTTTCCAGTGACATCTTGTGCTCGGTAACCCAGCAACACGATAGTTGTCAAACAACATGATTGTTCGATGTATCGTTTTACCCCTGTGATCGATAATTGTGGGAGTTTTCGAAATGCATCGTCGCGATGTCGTAATGTATAAGCATTCTGATGCCCAGAACAGTAGAGTTGTATGATGTATGGTGATTTCGATGATGTCACGACAGTTTACGGCAGTAGCAGCAGTGCGGCATTGCCAATTAGTGTTCCTTCACTGGCGGCGTCATAATAGGAAGCCTCAAGGCCGTTGGACGTCCGTCACCGTGGCTTCCCTGCAATCGACATTCCCACGCGTAGTTTTACGAGCCTGGTCCGTCCGTACACAATGGACTGGCCGCCCATGATGTTGTCTGGCGAAAAATGCAGCCATTTAGCCGAAGGGCCGCGCCGAGCGCAGACCTGTCTGGTAAGCTCTAGTCATTAACACAATACAGCTGTATAACGTGGACGTCAGTGTTTGGTTCGGGCTCTGCAGTATGGCGGGAGAGTGCCAGCACGTGCCGGCCGCCCTGTGCTCCTTCCAGTCGAGGAGAGGTACTGCTGGGTCTTCGACGCCGAGACTGGAGACTGCATTCGTCCATGCCTTTTGGTCGATGGAGTACGTCGGTCTGCTATGGAAAGAGATGGACCGCGCTGGGAAGGGGGATGGGGTACAGGGTAGCGCAGTTTGAGCTCTGTGTCTGAAAAATTGCAGGTTCGGGCTCGACTGCGCGCGTTGCCCGCCTTTCCTGGCAGGCTGAGAGGCAGGCGACGCCAGCGTCTGGATGTTTTTTTTTTAACGCCCAATGGTTGAGTGCGTCGTAAAGCCCCAATGACAGTGCAAAGCGGTGGATGAGAGCGCGTGTCCTAGTCTGATCTACCTATGATGAAGACGGCGAAACATGGTGAGAATGCAAATGTCGCCCTATCTTGCTGATATCAGACATCGGTGAACTTCAATTCGATGGTGCAAATATAGATTCTGCTCAGCTCTGAAAAAGCTCATCTGAAAAAGGCAATGTTCAAGGCAGAGCGCTTCACCGCAGCGTGCGGATATCTAAAAGTCAGAAGCACCGGGAAGCTGTGATACTCGGAAGTCGCCAGCGGTGTTCAACCCATCGGTACTCCTCGTTTCCCACCCAGGCGATAAAGCAGAGGGCACTACGGAATGCAAGGATACGGAATGTCGCTGTTTGGTTGATCCCTGCCAGCATGTGTCCCGAAATATGGATGCATGCACCATTTTTCACACAAATTCGCATAACGATTACACAAAATATGGGTAAATCGCACCGTCAGGCGCATTGGAGGCGCGTTTCACGCTACATAACCGCACCATGTCTCCAATGCGTGGATACTACCAAGAGTGCAGCAGCCAACGTGCTTCACAGTTCGTCGCTCCTTTTCTCAGAAGATATACAGTTCGTCGCTCCTTTTTCTCAGAAGGTGGACTGCTCGCCCGGATTCTGCCTTTGGGACAGGGGGACAGGTCCCTACATTGGGCCGCTTGTGATCAAGGCCATGGGGTTTGCAAACATAATTTTGCACCGTCTGTACCTCTTGCTGACCGGCGCAGAGGCGCTCGAGGTCATTTACCGGTGGAGTGCCATCGTCAGCTCGTCCGCTCTGATCCAGCGGGGCCGGCACGCGGCGAGCACAGGGGCCGTCTCAGACCAGTGGCCGACGCAGTTCTGCTGCCTGCTCCGAGCCACGTGCGACACGTAGCAAGGGGGCAACGTGGCACGTGGGTCTCGTGCCGTGCCGTACCGCACTGCCTACATAGGCTGAACTACGCGTAAGCTGTCCTTGCAGCCGGGAGCGCCCGTCACATGGAAAGAAACGCTTGTCGGTGGTTTCTGCGGTGAAATCGAGTCCAGCTTCTCAGCCGGCATCGTGGGTCAGTGGACGCCGTCGACCGACATCATGACTCTTGGAACGCAGTCTCACATGGGGCCGACAGACGCTGGATTAAATGTAATTTTAAGGAGTAAGTATGTGTGGCATGTGTATGTAAACAAACCTATGCGGTACTGACCTCAACGTTATGATGCATGGCTTTTCCAGCGACATTCTCGTCATTGCACTGCGGCCGCGCTTGCATCATCGGGGGAGTGGGCGAAACTGCGAGGCATTGTTTTGAATAGAATCGGCTTTTCGCTTTTTGCGATACCACATTCATGAAGTAATAAGGATGCAGCAACAGCGCCAGAGCTTTTAGCAATCTTCTGGCATCTGCGATTGAATACCGAGCTGGCCTGGTGGATTCCGTTCGGGTCCAATGTAAACTGACATATACGTCGCGGTCCTCCCGCCATGTCATAAATTGCATTCTGGGCGGTTGGACTGCATTGACATGAATGTCGGAATCTATGCTGGTTTAGTTCGTTTCTGTTCGCGACGGCGATGGCTGAAGCCAGCGAGCTGCCCAGCAATGGCATGGGGTGCGGAAACAATGGCGCACGGACCCAGCAATGGCATGGGGTGCGGAAGCAATGACGCACGGGACCCGGGAGACGGCGATGATGGGATCGCGTGCGCTGAGTTACAGTTCCCAGGCTGTAGGCCCTCCCCCCATGACGGTTGTGATTGGTGCGATTTCTTCTGTTGGTTCGGTCCCAGCAGTTTCATCTGTCAGGGACGCAGGTACGTCAGAAAAAAGTGGGTCAGCCTTTTCTAAGACGATTATTTCCGGTGCTGCCGTGAGGCAAATGTTCAACATTAAAGGGAATGTTCCACATTTGAAGGTATTCAAGCAAGCATCAGATATGACAACATGAGCTCGCCCATTACGGTTGGCATACTTTTCATTGGAAAAGACTGCTCCAGACAGCACAGTTTCCCTGCTTAGTAAATATTCCGCTCAATGCGTCATTGTTTGATGATGTAATCGTACCTTGCACGACATTGATTGAGGCCTTATTGACGGGCGTTTTATCTGGAAACCGTGCTCACGAATGCCAGATGTAAACAAATCGACAATTATGCTTTTCTTGGCCTTGGTCGTCGCATGGCTGGTGGAAGGGCAGGATTTGAATAGCGTTATGGCGCCATGGATGCCAGGGTGACGTTCAAATAGCCTCCTCGAAAAAGTCTGTACATTTTCGCGGGTGTGTAGCTCAGAAACTAGCGGGGGCGTGAGAAGGATGGGCTTGAACTGCACCCGACGATCCTTACGATGGCTGCTTCAGTTCAAGACCCCATACAAATGTGAAACACTTCCTTTAACGGAACGTGCGAGGAGGGTCACGTCACTCCCACCCTTTCTGCGCCTGTGGAATTTGTCCGCTGACGCTGATTAATAAACCACGATAACGTTTTTTCAGTCGCAAAAACATCGTACTGTGTACTGTGGGCTTTGGCATGTGGCTCATTGGAGATGTAATCTGCCAGTCATAGTGATGGCACGCTTGTGGACACAGTGGCAGCTGTAGAGCACCGCCGTGAGAAGCTGGCCCGGTCCGTGCCGCGCCCTCGGGCCAGCTGCGTGTCTCACCGGCCGCAGGAGAGCGGGCCATCTCACGCTCGGTTGATGGGTGCGTGAACCCGGCCGGCGGTGCCGTCACGCCACAGCCGTCATCAGAGCGCTCATTAGGCCCGGGAAGTCATTGCGTCGCTCCCACCCGCTCCGCGTCGGCCGGGCTCAGTCCGTTGTCTGCGGGGCTGCGGTTCAAGCGTGAACTGCTCAAGGCGAAGTAGTGTGTCGGACGTACTAAGTTGTTTACAGGGTGTGGAGCCAGTCTATTGTGAAGGTGAATGGATGCAGATGTTGTCTCTTGACCTGTGCCTGATACACCTATGTGACCGCACCGTCGTTGCGAGTTTCCTTTGCTTTCATTACCGGTTTCATGTTACATATATCAGCCCTGAAATGTATGGTTGTAAGCCCAAAAGTGCTCGGGTATGCGCGCATGTACAACACGTGGAAATGTGGTCGCATCATGTGTGTCGGACTGACGAAGCAATTCTTGGAAACTTCCACGTAATGACCATTTACTGACTCTGTCTCACTGACTCAGCAAGCTTGCTGTTTCGGCTCAGACGACGCGCCGCGGCCTCGCCGTTCTGGTCGGGCCCGGCAGCCCTCGCATTGACTCCGCGAGAGCACGCACTCACGGGGCTGCCGCTGCCCGCCAGGGGACGACCGCACGCCGCGCCGGGGCCGGACGGCTGTCGGCCGCACGCCGTGTGACTTAACGTTGGCTGCTTCGGGACGACGCCCGGTGTACAGGGATCCTATGGATTACAGATTGGGATTATCAAAAAAAGAAGTTGTGTTAGACTATCCGTTTAACGCGGTCCTCGTGTTTAGTAGGTACAGATGTACTGCAAGGTGCAGCAGGCCAAACGTTGGGCAGGCCTGCTTGCCTCCTGCATTTCCATGCATGCTGATCTCGACACCATAGTGTGTTGTCTCCTTCAGTGCGTATTGGCAGACAACCTCTCTGTTGACATTGACCGACCGCACAGACGGCCGAGCGGATGTACCGGACGTTTTTCAGGTGAGCTACGAACATTAGCAACACGGCCCATTTGAACAGACTAATATTACGAACTGGGCCAGTGCGCTCCGTAAGCTTCCACCACTTGATTGGCGTGGCTAATGTAGGAGCCGCTGATATCGGTCAGCCAATATTCGATTAACCGTGGATGCATTGGTCTGACAGCATGTGTCGCCCGCGGGCACAAGTGGCACGCTCCCCGCGTCGCTCCGCAACAGAGGCAGCATATCACCAGAGACGGTGAACCACAGGACCGATGCGGGGTCCTCACAGCGCCTATGAACTTGTTTTTTGCCGAGGGTCCGTGCTGGCCCAGGGATGCATCTCGTGTGTTGCGTTCGCTACAGAAGAGCTCATGTTTGCGGATGTGATAGCGAGTTGGGTGGCTGGCGAATCAGCCGACCGCAACGCCTCAGTCTGCTTGGAGGCTGCATGGCCACGCGGGCGCGCCAGCAGAATCTGCGACTAAGTCCGTCGATTTTGCTCTCTTCACCTTAATCTCGCACGCGCTCACAAGCTGACCTTTCCTGAAGGGGCCGCCACGCCACAAGGTCCTGATCTCGGCCAGACGGGCCAGCACTAGACCAGGACTCCATCCGGCTTTTATTGATAGCTGCCAAGTGGTTGACGTGATCACAGCTGAACACCACAGATTTGTCACGTAGCCAGTTCCACACATGTTGACGCCGACAACATGTTCATAGGATATCAGTGCACGAGGATGGGACGTCGTTAGTGATCACAGTGATCATGTTAGTGATCAGTCGTTAGAGTACGAATGCCTGCCGGCTTTTTCCACAGCTCAAACGCCGTGTGTTTGCTTGTAATCGTATTCCTGTAAAGAGCTGCCTTGATGGAACATTACACAAAGTCAGAAGGGAAAAGCATGCATCACCTTGGCGTCATTGTCAAACTATCTAACGGGCTTATTTGGGGGAGGGGAGAGACGGAGGAAAGGGCTAGT